GTTAAAGCCTTCCGTTCATAACAGTTTACCCCCATCTGGCTCTCGGGCAGGTGAGGCAAACATACTTTTGTAGTCGTCTGTACAGAGCCTGCGGTCAGCCCCGCCTTCTCAGGGAGAGGAAGGAGGAGGAGACGGAGAAAGAGAAGGAAGGGGAGAGGGAGGAGAGGGAGGGAGAGGGAGGAAGGGAGAGAGAGAGAGAGAGAGAGAGAGAGAGAGAGAGAGAGAGAGAGAGAGAGAGAGAGAGAGAGAGAGAGAGAGAGAGAGAGAGAGAGAGAGAGAGAGAGAGAAAGAAAGAGGAAGAGAAAGAAAAGAAGAGAAAAGAAAAGAAAAAGAGAAAGAAAGAGAAAGAGAAAAGAAAGAAAGAAGAAAGAGAGAAGAAAAGAAAAAGAAAGAAAGAGAGAGAAGAAAGAGAAAGAGAGAGGAGAGAGAGAAAACCAAAACTTTCGGTTTCCCCAATTTTCCCTTATCTACACACGCACACACACATTACTGGCACAGGTAAGAAGAACGAAATTGAATCATGAAAATCACAAAATACAACCTCTAATAATGCCTGGCAACTCTTAATACTGCATAACATCAGCCGGTTTTACCCTCCGATTCTGTGCTCATTACAAAATAAACAATAGTCTTATACAAATGCAAAGATATATATATATATATATATATATATATATATATATATATATAATATATATATATATATATATATATATATAATATAATATATATATATATATATATAATTGTCTTATACAATATAATATATATATATATATATATATATAATATATATATATATATATATATATATATAATATATATATATATATATATATATATATATATATATATATATATACATATATATATATATATATATATATATATATATATATATATATATATATATATATATATATATATATATATAATATATATATTAATATATATATATATATATATATAATATATATATAATATATATATATATATAATATATATATATATAATAGTCTTATACAAATGCAAAGATATATATATACACATACTCCCGTTCCCCCTAAGCTACCGAAAGAAAACTAAGTCAGGGACAAAAATCAGCTCATCACGCCGAGAGCGAAGTCCTCTGTGCAAAGAGAAAACACTACTGACAACCTTAAAAAAAAAAAAATAAATAGAATAAAAACTACAGTATTGCACTCTAATCCAAGAGGGAAAAATATCCATGTTGCAAATAAACGCAACATGAAGCTTTATTACATTTTTTTTTTCTTATTATTACTCCTGTCACACGCGTCTTACGAAAGAGAATCAGAGAGAAAAAATAACAATAACAACAACAGATAACACATACAGAAAAAGGGGGGTGAAAACACAAACGAACCAAAAGCGTGGAATCACCGCCAACTCGTATCACATTTTGGAGAGAGAGAAATTGAAAGAAAAAAAAAAAAAAAAAAAAAAAGAACACTAGACGCAGCACAATTTTTCCCTTTTCACGTCAACAACCAGCGCCATCTGTGAGCACCGTGACGCACCGGCAACCCCAGAGATCACAACACTTTATGCCGCAGGATCCTTCTTCATCAGCTCGATGTCTGCCTCTACCATGTCCCTCACAAGGCCCTGGAATTAGGAACACAGAAATTATAAAACATATTAGCAGAGTCATTAGAAAATGAGTGAGAAATATATATTAGCAGAGTCATTAGAAAATGAGTGAGAAATATATATTAGTCATTAGAAGATGAGTGAGAGGTGGGGGAGGGGGTGGGGGAGGTACAACCGTGAGATACGAGTGAGATGAGTGCGGGTTTGTAAAAACAACGCGACCCAATGAGCAATAATTATACAGACATGCATATATACAGAAATAAATTCATATCTATCCCTCTACACATGCATATCTATTGGACAGATAGATAAATGTATATCTAGGAGGTAGATAGCCTGATATCCATTTATTTTTGTGTATATGTATGTCTGTATATGTGAATATTAACTGGACGATTTACATTAAAAAAAAAATCATCGATAAACACCCCACTAAACAAAAGAAAAGAGGGGAAAAATATCGTATCATGACGAAAAAAAAAAAAGACTGCCATAACTCACCGCGAAATCGTGGGTTGCCTTCCAGCCGAGCTTCTTCCAGGCCTTCGTTGCGTCTCCTTGCAGGAAGTCCTTTGGTGGAAAAGGAGAGAGGGAGAGAAAAATTGAAAACAGATATTGATTGTAGGAAAAAAAATAAAGAAAAATAAACACGAAAAGTCAAGAGAGAGAGAGAGAAAGAGAGACAGCGAGAAAGAGATAGAGAGAGACAGAGAGACAGACAGAGAGTATATTATGCTATATCTGCTACAGCTCCAAACTACGTGGTCACCTACTTCCCACGTTGCATGGGTGATTCTACATATAGACCCCAAGCCACGCTCCCTTCACTTGGTCAGCTATAAGGGCAACCCAGCTTGACCTCTCTGACTCGCACTCTTCATAC